TCCTCGCAGACTCCACTGAGCCGAGCCTCACTGAATGGGGTTCCTTCCTTTATGGAAACGAGAGTTCAAGTTCGCTCATGAGCACATTTATTGGCGCAGAACGGCAGGTCTGGCCTGGCCAGTACTCCACAATGCCTCTGGTCTGGGTTCTTTGCAGAGCAGTGACAGCGCCTCCCACGGGAGTTCAGACCCCCAGGCCGAACCTCACTCCTGGGGGCCGGCGGGTCTGCGAGGCGCCGAAGGTCCTGGTCACTAAAGAGGCCTCGGGTGAGCCGTGGAGGGACAGAATGGCCCTTGCTCCCTGTGAGTCCTGGGGGGCCCCACCGATTCCCTCCCTGCCTAATGTCCAGCGACCTGCCCGCCACCCACAGGGCTCTCACAGGCCAGCCTCTGAGGTTATCCCCTTGCTCTCTCCACCTGGGGTTCTCTGGGCCCAGGCTGTAGTCTTTGGGGGTGAGAGGAGAGGGAAGAACTTGCATGGGCTCTTGGGGCCACCATATCCCAGGGGCTGGTCCAGCTGGCCTGCTCCAGGGGTCCCAGCACACAGCCCTGCAGCTGCCTCAGCCGCTGGCTTCCTGCTGACTGAACCACACTACTTACTGCTCCCAACTTGGCTCCTCCGTTGACCCCTGACCACTCTCAGCTTGGGGCCTGGACACTGAGCTGGCCATCCCTCCCTCCCAGCCCACAAGCCAGACCAGGGCACTCACCAGGGGCAGGCACAGGGCCAGAATCCCGCTGTGAGGAATGCAGCGCCAGGGGCTGACCTCGGTCAGGCGGAGGCAGCAGTGGCTCTGGCACTCGCTGTGCTTTGTGCAGAGGGACCCGTTTGGCTGAGGACACAGGCGCACAGGTGGCTACTGGACCCCGCCCTGCCGCCCTGCCAGTGGAGCCCAGTGCCTCTGCCTGCTAGTGCCTCACCTTCTTCCAGGACACACATTGAAAGAAGAAGGTCCTGGCCATACAGGTCTTCTGTTTCCGGGGGTCCGTGAGGACACAGCAATTGCTCTTGCAGTTGGAAGAGTGCAGGCAGGAGAACCCATTGGGCTGTGAGAGAGACTGTGTCCTTCTCCAGGCCGGGTGGTGGCCCACTCACCCCAGCCCAGGTACCCACCTTCCTCCATGAGACACACTTCAGGAAGACTGTCTGGGGGGTGCACAACTTTTGAGAGTTCGGGCTGCCTGTGACACAGCAGCGACTCTGGCACTCCCGGTGGTCTTCACAGGGTTCCCCCACACCCTGAAAGGCCAGCATGGCCATGGAGGAAAGGAGACACCATCTGACTCATATGAACAGCAATGTAAACTGAGGCACTTCAAGCTAAGGGAGCAAGCAATGGCCAAGTAGCTTGAGAGGTTCTCGGTCCTGGGGAACATGGCTCCCTCCTCCGCCCTCATGGAGGGCACTCATGCAGGGCACTTTTCCAAGGGGGCAGGCATATTCTGGTGGTGCCTGACCCCACCTTCCCTGCCAGGGTCCTGGCACAGGACCTGGGAGCAGCTCACCTTGTGCAACAGGTGCGGATTCCTCCCCTGCGTGGCTGTAGGCAGCAGGGACAGGAGCAGCAGCAGGTGTCCCAGGTGCCCCATCCGGCTGGCTGTGGAGGCAGATATGCCAGCCAGCACCCCTGACCTGCTCTGGGTACCCTCCTTCCCATGATTCCTCTTGCAAAATGGATCTTTTGAATTAATGTACACTATTTTCCAGAGTAGCTTTAGGTTTGGAGAGAAATGATGTAGGACAGTGCCCACATGCCCATCCTCCACCTCACCTGCAGCTGATTAGTCCACAGCAACTCACACGCCAAAGCTCAGGTTGAGGTCACTTTTAGGGGTACCTTTCTGGGTATGATGACTGCACCGCCACCCCCACCATGCAGAGGATTCACCGCTCCAGGTGCAAGCCCTCCTTACCCAGGCTGTGGGGGAGCAGCCCCTCAGCCCCACACAGTCCTGCTCCACCACAGCCCTCCTTTAAGGTCCCAATTCTCAGGGGCAGTACCCATAGCCATATCCTGTCAGCCCAGCCTGGGCCCCAGGTGCTTCTCACCTCCTGGGTCAAAGCCACCTAGCTCTGGCTGGCCCTGTGCTCTGGGGGGCCCTTGGGGAATGGGGGTGCTGACAGGCATTGGGCTCTGTGGGCTGCCCTGTCTCTTCCCTTGGCATCCTGGCCTGTGACTCCTGGGGGCCTTCCAGAGGGAGGGGTAGATCCACAGGACCCCAGCTGGGAGACGGACAGGCCAGGGGCCTGAGCCAGCACCCAGGAACCTGTAGGGTTCCATTGCCACTTCTCTCTACAGGGACGGGGCTTCCCAGGGTAAGGGGCACTGACCCCCATCCAAATACCCAGAAACGTACTCCACGTGCCTGCGCACACCCCACATTTGATGGCCCATGGAGTTTCCTCCATGGAAAGACCATTGGGCCTTGACTTTCCCTCCTGTGGCTCTGCCACACCTGCCCAGGTGACTCAGGGGCCTGAAGGGCAGATGGCCACTGGTCTCCCTCAGCAACAGGTTCTGGAGACTGCTCACACTGCCACCCTATGAGCAGATGGCCAGACCCTCTCTGCCAGCAGTGTCCACAGACAGGACAGGTGAGTGTGGAGGGCTATTGTGCACTCCAGGTGCAGGGAACTCAGGAGCAGGGCCTGCTGCTCCAAGAGAGTGGCTTCCTGGGATGAGGGGTCACCCTGGAGACCATGCAAGTGTCAGTCAGATGACCATGGGGTTCACAGGATGCTAGCCAGGGTGCAGGAAGTCCTGGCACTGCAGTGGCACTGGCACTGCGCACAGGGGTCTGGTCTGCTGTGGGTGGGTGGGTGGGTGGGTGCACTGCTGCCAAGGGGGCCCACAGAGCAGGGGCACCCATCAGGAATGAGACAATGACCTGCTCTTTGACCCTCTTTGGCACAGGCAGCCCCTACCCACCAAGGCTGGGTCCCAGCTCTGGGCTCCAGCAATCTAGCCCTTTCTCTACTGGCCTCCCCTAACCCTGGCTCCTCCCCCTGCCTTGGCCTCTCTGCTAGCCCTGGCATCACCCCAGCCGACCCCACCCCAGCCAGCTGGATGCCTCTCCTGCCCAGGCTTCTCCCTAGCCTTGGCCTCTCCCCTTCCTTGGCTACCTCTAATTTGCTTTCCATCTCTATGGATTTGCCTGTTCTGGGTAGTTCACATTAGTACACTAACACACAGGTGCATTTTGTCCTTTATTGCTATGGTATCTAACTATTAATTTGGGAATGATAAATTAACCTTTTTTTTTTGCTAACTTTTGTCCTATTCTGTTTTCTGATTTGCTAATAATTTAAGTGAGGAATTTTTGCATCTCTATCTGTAAGGAATATTGTTTTGTTCTGGTCATATTTGTTTTATTTGAGTAATAGCCTCATGGAATGTTCCTGCTCTTCTAACTTTTAAAAGCTAACATTTGGCCCTCCCAGGTGGCACAGCAAGTTAAAGCGCAGCACTATGAAGCTATCTGCAGCCACTGTAGTACCAGTTCAATCCCTGGCCAGGGAGGTGACCCACCTGGCACAGCAGACCTCTCCTGTCTGGCCCATTGCTCCCTTCAGCCCCCTGAGCAATGTATTTCAGTCAATCTGCTTGTTCTGCTCCCCCTTTGTCTGGTGAGCCCCCTCACCCCCTTTCCCCACACCTCTGGCCTGTACCCCAAGCATAAATAATCTTGTATGCATAAGTAAATAAATCTTTAAAAAGTTAACATTTTAAAAAGTTAACATTACAAAGTTAATAATTGGAGTTGCCACCAATTATTCTCAAACTTTTTCAAAGAAATTGAGGAGAAAGGAGCCTGCTCCAATTTATCCTATAAGCCAGTGTTTCCATGATAGAAAAGCCAGACAAGAAAGAAAACTACAGGCCAATAGCCTTGATAAATATTAATGCCACCACCCACTCCCACAATACACGCACAGTATTGTCAAACTCAACCCTTCAAATACTAGAAGATCCTATACCACATGAAATATTCTGGGAAATATTCTGGCAACACAGAGTAGACAAGGGAGCAATCAATCAGGGCAGCGGACCACAGTAGCAAGACAAAGGTAAAATGCATGAAAAGGGCCTTCCTGTTGGTGCAGGGGTTAAGTCTCAAGGCTAGAAGCTAGCAGAGGCGACAACAATGTGAGTTCCATCCCCAGCCAGGGAGCTGAGTCACCTGGCAGGAAGCAGACCTCTTCTGTCTCCCTGCTGCTCCCCTCAGCAGTGGATTTCAGTGGATCCCCCTTTTCTGTTCCCCACTCCATCTCTGGGGAGTCCTCTTACCCACCCACAGGACCTCTGGCCTGAATCCTGGTTCTTGTATGCATGAACAAATAATCTTTTTCTTTTTTAAAGATTTATTTATTTATGCATATAGAACTGAGGTACAGGCCAGAAGTGATTCATCAGAGACAGAGTGGGGAGCAGTACAGGCAGTTTGACGAAGTACACTGCTGAGGGGAGCAGCGGGCAGAGACTGGGGAGCTCTGCAGCCCCGGGCAGGCCAGGGATGAACTCGTGCTGAAACGGTGCGGCTGCTTAGCAGTGAGTACTGCGCTTTAACCCATAGCGCCACCAGGGAGGGTCCCTGAACAAACATCTTTTAAAAAAAAAAAAGCCTCATTGACTTGTTCAAGAAACATCGGCCCGTCGAAATGGATTACTCGGTGCCATGTGAATTTCATCTCAAAAAAAGTGTAAACTGTGGGTCGTGTCGTGAAACGCCACGATGTCAGTATTCTCCCCCAAACCGAGAGGGGAGCGCGGTGGTAAAAACAAGACAAGACAAGCAGACGAAAAACACACCTTTGAGTGGCAAAGAGGAAAGGAAGGATCAGAAGTGGATGAAGACAGACGGAGGCACGCAGAGTCGGGGGTCTGGAGCCGAGGGGTGCGCTCGCCTGCGGACGAACGCCGGACGCGCTCGGGAAGGGGATCGGTTTTTGTCCCTGTGGAGACATGGACGAGCGGGCTGAGCCTGCCCTTGGAAACCACTTCCCTGCACCTGAACCGTTGGCGCCGTGACGCCTCAGGGGTGTCCCATCAACGCTGGAGGAAAATGTCCTGTGGAAATGGGACTCACCAGCCCGCGGCGCCGCGGATCCGACCCGTGATGGAGACGCCCAGGACAGGGGGTGCGGGTGGTGCTTTTCCACGTCTCTCCCCAGGACTCAGACCGCCCCCCCAACCACCACCCCTTCCTTCCCCCGCAACCAGGGTTCCCGCAGCACCTTCCTTGAGTTGGGGGCTGGGGCGAGGGCGACCGGGCCTCAAGCCCCCCACATCCCACCTCCCTCGCTGGGTCCCTGAGCTCAGACCCCCCGGGAGGCGGGGCGGG